GGGCATGGGGAATGGGACATGGGGCATGGGGTATGGGGCATGGAGCACGGGGCATGGAGCAAGGGGCATGGAGCATGGGTCATGGGGAACAGTGCAGCTTCGCAGCATGCCGATGATCTGATCTTTCCATGCCATATCACTATGGGTGTTTCCCAATCCCTTCTTCCCAATCCCTTCTTCCCAATCCCTTCTTCCCAATCCCTTCTTCCCAATCCCTTCTTCCCAATCCCTTCTTCCCATTCTCTTCCTCAATCTTTTCTTCCGCGTGCCCTGCCATCCCTCCATGCCCTGCCATCCCTCCATGCCCTGCCATTCCCCCTTATCCCTCCATGCCCTGCCATTCCCCCTTATCCCTCCATGCCCTGCCATTCCCCCTTATCCCTCCATGCCCTGCCATTCCCCCTTATCCCTCCATGTCCTGCTGTTCCCCCCCATCCCTCCGCACCCCGCAGTGACATCTCAGCCAACACATTGAACGGCTCTGTTCCGCCCTTCTTCGGCCGCATGACCAACCTGACCCACCTGTACGGCATGACCCACCTGTATGGCATGACCCACCTGTATGGCATGACCCACCTGCATGGCATGACCCACCTGTATGGCATGACCCACCTGTATGGCACTCACCTATATGAGCACACACACCTATACGCACATCTCATGCCTGTATGTGAACCACTACATGCTCACATCCTCACTGCTTACCGGTACCCTTGCCCATGCCACGCCATGCCATCTCCAAGCCCTGCCACCCCATGGCACCATATGGCAGGGACATGGCTGTCAACCTGCTCTCCGGCTCAGTGCCTCCTGCCATCTTCAAACTGCGACAGCTCTCCCACCTGTCAGTCGACTCTCCCACCTGTCAGTCGACTCTCCCACCTGTCAGTCGACTCTCCCACCTGTCAGTCGACTCTCCCACCTGTCAGTCGACTCTCCCACCTGTCAGTCGACTCTCCCACCTGTCAGTCGACTCTCCCACCTGTCAGTCGACTCTCCCACCTGTCAGACAATCTTTCTGTCTATGTCCCTGGCCATAACCCCTGTACAAGGATAGCAGCTTGTAGCAACCAGCCATTCATCTTGGATTCCTGGCCCCCTCGCCATCTATCCTCACGCCGTCTCACCTCCGCCCCTCTGCCCTCTCTCTCTGCCCTCTCTCTCTGCCCTCTCTCTCTGCCCTCTCTCCCCCTGCCTCCTGCCACTCAACTCACCATGCCAGCAACGTGTCTCGCAACCGCCTCTCAGGCCCTCTGCCCAACGCTGCTGCCAGTCCAGCTCTCATCATGTGCGTATGCCCTAGCGACCACGAGAGCCCTGGTAACCATACAGATTGAATCTTGCGAGTAGAAATTTCCATCGCCTTCCCTCCCCGCCCCGCCCTTCCGCTCCTGCACTGCACCCTTAATCCTCTCGTACTCGTTCCCTTCACCCTCCTCGCTTTCTCCTTCCCCTCCCCTTCCTCCCACCTATGTGTCAGCTTACCCATGTCTCTCTCCCTCTCCCCTCTCCCTCTCCCCTCTCCCTCTCCCCTCGCCCTCTCCCCTCGCCCTCTCCCCTCTCCCCTCTCCCCTCTCCCCTCTTATCTCCGCAGCGACCTCTCATTCAACACGCTCTCGGGGACCCTGGAGAGCCAGCATATCAACCTCAAGCGACTAGCATTGCTGTTAGTGCCGCCACATGCCACTGCTCTCACTCACAGTCGTCCGCCCAGCATCTCTGCTTGTGTGACTTTAGCCGCGCTCTTCGGGCTTCCTCTTCTTGCTTGGCTTGTTCCACGCTCTTTCTCTGCCCTGCCCCGCACATGCCTCCCCCCGGTTCTAGCCCAGCCAAACCCAATTGCCCCAATTGCCATTCTTGCTTCCCACCCGCCAACCTCTCATGCTCCATCCTGTTTCCCACCCCGAGTACCTCTGCCGATCCTAGTTGACTTTTGAGTTGACTCAATAGTCAACTCCCATGCCCCCCCCCCCCTGCTTCTCGTCCGCCGATGCCTGCAGGGCGGTGCACCACAACCAGCTGTCAGGGCCCATCCCCGAGTACCTCTGCCAATCCGTGCTGCAGATCATGTAACGCCCACACCACATGTTGTAACGCCCACACCACATGTTGTAACGCCCACACCCTAAACCCTGTACCATTCACACTATGCGAGACGCTCAGAAAACCTAGCAGTGACGCTGTGTAGCAAGCAATCAGGTTGTGTTACACTCAGGTCCCTGTATGTGGCGCACAGCCTGTTATGATGATGTGGGCATCCCTGTAGAGAGGCCATTCATCATGCACAGAAAGGCTTGCACAGGCACCAATGCATCGCACTGGTGCTTCAATGCGTTACTCCCTGCTGCGCCAGCCTCTTTCTCTCTGCTCTCATCCTTCTGGGTTCTGTCATGACTTCACCTACCCACCCACACCATCCATATTGCTTCTTTCCTCACCTCCCACCTGTCCACCTCCCACCTGTCCACCTCCCCACCTGCCCACCTCCCATACCCACCTGTCCACCTCCCCACCTGCCCACCTCCCATACCCACCTGTCCACCTCCCCACCTGCCTGCCCGTCCACATGTAGGCGACTGGGCAGCAACGCCTTTTCAGGGGCTCTCCCTCAGTGTCTGCCCTTCCTCTCCTCCGTCCAACTCATGTCCGTTTGCCCTTTCACCCTTTCACCCTTCACCCTTCACCTTTCCCCGTCAACCTTGCCTCGCTCTAATTCACCCTTGTCACTGCTCCTCCTCTCCTCCTGTTGTCTTGGTAAAACCGCTTCCTACCTTCCCACCCAACATCTGCTCCCAATCGCTCGTCTCTCCCCCTGTCCCCCTGTCCCCTGTCTCCCCTTACTCTCCCCCTGCCCCTGCCCCCCCCTAACTCTGCGCCTGTCTCCCAGTGACGTCAGCAACAATCTGATCTTCATGGACGCCGCAACCTTCCAAAACATGCCGCCCATCAGCCTGGACCTCAGCGGCAACTACCTCTACGGCTCCTTCTCCCCCTCCCCCAACATCACCCTCTCCTCCTCCTCCCCAACCCCTCCCTTCCCTTCTCTCGTCCTCCCAGTAACCCCCCAACCCCAGTCCCTTCCCCCCTGGGCAGTCCAGGAAGCAACGAACCCTCAGTGGGTGTGGGGGGCGCAGGGGGGGCTGCAGGGGGCGGCTGCAGCAGGAGGGGAGGGCGGGGCGAATCGCAGCAGCACAGTAGCATGGCTGGCTATAGATGGGAACTGTGTGGGGAGCCAGGGCGTGGGGCAGCAGCGGGGGGCGGCAGAGTGTGCGGCGGTGTGTGGGATAGAGTCAGGGCAGGGGCCGTGTGGGGGTGCAGGTGCGGGGCAGTGTGTGGTGCAGAGCGGTTGGCCGCCGTCCCTCTCCTGCTCCTGCTCCAGTGGCTACGTTGCTGTCACTGCTGCTGGCACTGCCAACACCACCACTTGCGAGCTGCCCCCTCCTTCCCCTCCCGGTATGTTCAATCAATGGCTTGGGTTGCTCTCCCAGCTTCCGGCAATTTCTCACCTCCGCTTGTCTGCTTTTCTATGCACCTCACACCCGTCTCTCCCTTTCTCTCACTCCCTTTCTCTCACTCCCTTTCTCTCACTCCCTTTCTCTCACTCCCTTTCTCTCACTCCCTTTCTCTCACTCCCTTTCTCTCTCTCCCTTTCTCTCGCTCCACTCACCCAGCTCCCTCCTCCCTGTCACACAACTCCCCCGTCCCACTCCACTCCACTCCATTCTCCCCTCCTCTCTCCCCGCAGCGCCCTCATCGGGACTATCAGCAGGGGCGGTGGCGGGCATAGTGGTGGGCGCTGTGCTGCTGTCCCATTCCCCACTCTCCCTCCCTCTCACGCCTCCCCCCCCTCGTCTCCCTCCATCCCACTCCACACCCCCCTCCTCCCCTCCGCAGCGCCCTCATCAGGGCTGTCAGCAGGGGCGGTGGCGGGCATAGTGGTGGGCGTTGTGCTGCTGCTCGCTGCTGTCGCTGGCCTCCTCGTCTTCTTCCTCCGCCCCTCTCAGAGAAGTCAGTTAGAATCACCACCTTGCACCACTTTCCACCACTTTGCACCGCCTTGCACCACCTCTAGCATTCCCTCGCATCTTCGCTTAATTTCCCTGCCCCTCACTCTCAATGCACCTACAACAGCATCGAACCGCATCACACCGACACCTCACCGCATTGCACCTCATCACACGTCACCACCATCACCAACCTTAACAGATCAAGCCCTGCATCCTCTTCACCATCGTCCGCACCCTCTGCCCGCGTTCCCACGTTTCCCCTGTCCTGCCACCTACGCCCTTCCAGCCCTATCACACTTACACACAAATCTGCATGCAAGCATTGCCCCCCCTGGTTCCCTTCCCCGTCCCCCACGGTCATTGGACCTGGACCTGTGTGTGGCGTACCGCATAGAGGACATCCGCCGCGCCACCGACAATTTCTCCTTCCCTGTCCACATCTTCCCCTGTCTCTTCCCCATCGCAAACCCAAATGCTCCCCTACGCCCCCGCCACACCATCCCCCGCCCCCCAGGGTCGCTGGACCTTGACCAGTGTGTGGCGTACCGCATAGAGGACATCCGCCACGCCACCGACAGCCTCTCCTTCCCTTGTTTTGCGCATCACTTCCTCATTTTTCCCCTTCCCAAACCCCACCTCCTCCCGCCTCCTTCTCCCCCGTCCACCAGGGTCGCTGGACCTGGACCAGTGTGTGGCGTACCGCATAGAGGACATCCGCCGCGCCACCAACAACTTCTCTCCCGAGTCCAAGCTGGGCGAGGGCGGCTTCGGCAGTGTCTTCAAGGGAAATGCACCCGACGGCACCCTGTGGGCCATCAAGCGCGCCAAGTTCCTCACCAACGACTTCGAGAAGGAGGTGAGACGCGAAGGAGGGTGGGGGGGAGGGGGGGGAGGGAGTGTTAGGCGGGTGGTTGAGGAGCGAGTGTCACGTTCTGGATGAGCGAGTGGTTGAGGAGGGGAGTGGCAGGAGAGTGGTTAGAGCAGGGATAAAGCATGCTTTCCATCGGTTCGGGAATCCCTTGTGACATTGAGCCTCCTCCATTTATTTCTCGTGCCTCCTCTTCACCATCCCTCTCCACTGTCCCTCCTCCCCACCGTCCCCACCGTCCCCCTTCCCCAATGGTCCCCCGTGCAGGTGCGAGCAGTGGCGACGCTGCGGCACCAAAACCTGGTGCGCCTACTGGGGTACTGCATGGATTACAACGCGGCCACCGGCCACCAGGAGCAGATTCTCGTCTACGAGTTCGTCCCCCACGGCGACCTCTCCCACTACCTCCACGCAGGGGACGCCCCCCCTGGTTCAACCCAGGTGTCTCTCTCCTTTGAAGAGCTCGTGCGCATTGCTCAGGGCGCAGCGGAAGGGCTGGCATACCTGCACCACTCGCTCTCCCCTCCCATCGTGCATCGCGACGTGAAGCCCGCGAATATTCTCATCGGCGAGGGCAGGACGGCGAAGCTGGGTGATTTCGGGCTGGTTAAGATGGATAACCTGGAAAATGCGACGAACCTGGCGGGCACGCCCGGGTACATGGACCCGGATTATGGTGACAGTAAGATTGTGACGACGGCAAGTGATGTGTTCAGCTTTGGAGTGGTGCTGCTGGAGATGGTGTCGGGGAAGCGGGCCGTGTTGGACGAGAGTGACATCGCCTTCAGCAACCGCCACATTTCCATCTGGGTACGGACCTTTGTGCTGAGCTGAGCACCATTTTCGAAATCGCCTCGCCACGTCTTGCAAAGCAAAAGCTCCTTGCATTCTCGGCTAACTGTGGTCTTGCATTCTTGTTTCACCTGTGCAGGCGAATGAGCTTGTGATGGCGGGGAAGATCACCCAAGTGGTGATGGAGGACCTGAAAGCGCCACCAGATGCCATCATCATGTTTGTCGATCTCGCCATGGACTGCCTCAAGCGGCCTGGGGCCTTGAGGCCGGAGATGCGGGAAGTGGCTCGGCGCCTCAACAACATCCTTGCCGTTGCACAAGGAAATGCGCCGGTGGGAGCTCATCTGATGAAGCAAAAGTCGTGGACGAATGGTGCTGGGATTGATCCGAGCGTCAAGGCTGTAGATGAAGCAGCGGAGCCGTTTAAGAAGGAAACTGCTTAGTTTCTTTATTTGCTTTGTGTGCTTCTGCTTTGTGTGCTTCTGTTTTGTGTGCTGCTTTGAAACAGCTGGCACCGTATGCCGAGAATGTCTTCCCTTCAACGTTACACTTAAGACATAATTTTGTTGCCGTACAAATAAACTGAATTGATGATTGCTTTGTAATTATTGCCATTTGTGCAAACTCATCAGGGATGCTCAGAAAATCTGGACCTGGACCAGTGTGTGGCGTACCGCATAGAGGACATTCGGTGCGCCACCAACAACTTCTCTTCCGAGTGCAAGCTGGGCGAGGGTGGCTTCGGCAGCGTCTTCAAGGGAAATGCACCCGACGGCACCCTGTGGGCCATCAAGCGCGCCAAGTTCCTCACCAACGACTTTGAGAAGGAGGTGAGACAGAGGGAGGGAGAGAGGGGAAGTGGGCAGGATTCTTTGAGGAGGTGATTGGCAGGTAAGGGGTGAGAGCAGGCAATACCTTGCCTCAGGTATCATGCCATGTCTGTTTGCCCTTGCCATTCTATCCCTCATTCCCCGCCCAACCATCCCTCATGCAGGTGCGAGAAGCGGCGACGCTACGGCATGAGAACCTGGTGCAGCTGCTGGGGTGTGTCAAATGATATATATGTGTGATATATATTGGTAGGCTGTAGTGGGGTAGATGTTATAGGGGATAACACTTTAGGGTTGTGTTATTTGTACCAAACTCTCGATAGTCAATCCAACCTTGCCTGATTCTCTCGACATGGCATCTAGAGCAGGTTCCTAGACCTAAGCTTAAGGGCCCACCATGTACTAAGTTACCTCCCCAACGGCCTGCCTACCTGCCTTACATACGTGTCTGCCTAGCCTGCTGCCCGCGCGCGCCTCGGCTGCGCGCGCACGCCTTTTTTTTACCGCGCACAGCTGCTGCCAGCCGCGTCGCGCCCCGTAGGTCGCTTGTGCAGCCCGCCCTGCGCCCGCGCGGCCCGCAGCTGCCCTGCGCACCGTCCGTGCAGCCCGCGCCGAGCCCGCACGGCCCGCACTGAACCCGCGCAGCCCGCGCCTAGCCCGCGCGGCCCGCACTGAGCCTGCGCAGCCCGCGCGCAGCCCGCGCAGCCTGCGCGCAGCCCGCACGCGGCCCGCGCACCGCCCGTGCAGCTCTCGTCGCGCCCCGCCAGCCTGCGCGCGGCCTGTCACTGATCTGCGTGTTTCCTTACCTGCTCGCATTGCGCCTGTATCAACTGCCTACCTGCTACGGTTGCCTATTGCCTGTGCCTGCTGCCTGAGCCTGCTGCCTGAGCCTGCTGCCTGAGCCTGCTGCCTGAGCCTGCAGCCTTTGCCTGCTGCCTGAGCCTGCTGCCTGAGCCTGCTGCCTGAGCCTGCTACTTTTGCCTGCGCTGCAACCATGGCGACCCTTACTGTTCTCGCCTTTGAGTCTGACGGCCGCCCCATCGAGTTTGACACCTGGCTTAGTGACCTGCGCCTTTACCTTATGACTGACGTCGCAGACGGAGTGTCACTGCTAGCCTATGTGACCGGCACTGTCCCTACTCCCGCTGAGACTGCTCCTGCCCCTGAACGAGCACAGTGGGAGCTCCGCGATGCAGTCGCGCGCCTTGTTATTCGCAATCACCTACCGATCTCTGAGCGCGCGCATTTCAACCAGCTTAAGACTGCTCAGACGCTGTATGATGCTGTCGTTGCCCGCTATTCCGCCCCGGCCACAGCCACCGTTGGTAGTCTCATCCTGCCTTACCTGTTCCCAGACTTAGCCTCGGCGTGGGCGTGGGGCGTCTCGGGGTTCTGACCGCTGCCCCTATGTCATTCGTACTGGCCCCCGCAAGGGTCGCCCCTGCAACGGTTTTCACACTGAGTATCGTTGTTTTGCTAGGCTTAGTGACGCCTGGCGTACCAAGTATCCTGATGCTACTGAGTTCCCCAACTGGGCAGAGCTGCTTAGGCGTGATGTGCCTATCTTTGATCTGGACTATGATGTTATTCTTGCTGCCATGTATGCATTGACTGTTAGTGCTGAGGGTGACTGCTACTTGTGTGTGCCGCCTGACCCTGGTATTGACCCCGGTATAAGGGCTGCAGCCCTAGGTGCTAGTGAGTCTGCTCCCCTTGGTACTGAGTCGGCTCAGGCCTTGCACACGTTTACACTTGACTCTGGTGCTTCCCGCTGTTTCTTTCGCGATAGCACCACCGTCACTCCCCTCCCTGCACCTGTCCCTGTCTCCCTGGCTGACCCCTCTGGGGGCCCAGTGCTTGCACGAGCCACGACTGTGCTCCCGTGCCCGGCGGTCCCGTCTGGTGAGCTGTCAGGTCTCCACGTTCCCTCGTTCTCTACGAACCTGGTGAGCAACGCCGTCCTCCAGGATCACTGGGTTGACACCTGGACTCCTGGAGGGCAGCGTGTGGCGATCTGCACGTGCTCCAAGACTGGCCGCCACCTGGCCACGTTCACTCGTGAGCCGGGGTCCAGTCTGTACACCCTCACCACTGTTTCACGCTCCGCTCCTTTGTCTCCGCAGCTGTACGCGTCTGCTCAGGTAGCTACCCAGTGTGAGTGCCGCCGCCTGTCGCACGACACGCTCCTGTGGCACCACCGCCTTGGTCACCCCTCCCTGCCTCGCCTTCGTAGCATGCACTCTCGCTCTCTGGTCTCTGGGCTTCCCAGGTCTCTGCCTGCCCTCCCTCCCTCGCCTGCACCGCCCTGCATTCCCTGCGTCGAGGGGCGGCAGCGCGCCGCTCCTCACTCCTCCTCGTTTCCTCCCACAGAGGCTCCCCTGCAGACGCTCCACCTAGACGTGTGGGGCCCAGCCCGCGTCCAGGGACAGGGCCGTGAGCGGTACTTTCTGCTGGTTGTCGACGACTACACGCGTTACACCACGGTCTTCCCCTTGCGCAGCAAGGGAGACGTCCCTGCTGTTTTGATCCCCTGGATCCGCGCTGTGCGTCTCCAGCTCCGCGAGCGGTTCGAGCGGGACTTTCCTGTCCTGCGTCTGCACTCTGACAGAGGTGGTGAGACCTCCTCTGACCTCTTGGCAGCCTTCTGTGCGGAGCACGGCATCACCCAGTCGTTCACGCTTCCGGCCTCTCCGCAGCAGAATGGGGTTGCTGAGCGCCGCATTGGCTTAGTCATGGAGGTCGCTCGTACCTCCATGATCCATGCGGCGGCTCCCCATTTTCTGTGGCCGTTCGCGGTCCGGTACGCCGCGCATCAGCTCAACCTCTGGCCCCGTGTCTCCTTGCCGGAGACCTCGCCCACGCTGCTGTGGACGGGGGAGGTTGGCGATGCGTCGCGTTTCCGGGTCTGGGGTGCTCGTGCCTTTGTCCGCGATCTCACCGCGGACAAGCTCTCTGCTCGCGCCATTCCCTGCGTCTTCCTTGGTTTTCCTCCTGACGCGCCTGGCTGGCAGTTTTACGAGCCCACCTCGCGCCGTGTCTTTGCGTCTCAGGACGTCACCTTTGACGAGTCTGTTCCCTTCTACCGTCTCTTTCCCTACCGCACTGCCTCTCGCCCCCCCCCGCCGCTCTTTCTCGCTCCAGGTCCTCCCCAGGTAGACCCCCTCCCCGCGCCAGGTCCTGCTCCTTCAGGTGTTTCTCAGGTAGACCCCCCGGTACCTGCGCCTGTTGAGGTCACTGGTGACTCAGGTCCTGCTGGAGGTGGTCCTACTCGGGGTGCTGTCTCTGGGGGTGCTGAGCCTGGGAGTGCGGAGCCTGAGCGAGAGGCGCCTAGAGGTGCTGAGCCTGGGGGTGCGGAGTCTGGGGGTGCCGTGCCTGCGCGTGAGGAGCCTGGAGGTGCTGAGCTTGGGGGTGTCGAGTCTGAGGGTGCTGTGCCTGCGCGTGAGGAGCCTGGAGGTGCTGAGCTTGCGGGTGCCGAGTCTGCGGGTACTGAGCCTACGCGTGTGGAGCCTGGAGGTGCTGACGCTGGAGGTTCTGGAGCAGTTGGGGGTGCTGGCGCTGAGGGTTCTGAGTCTGCTGTTGCGCGGTCTCCTTGGAGTAGCCGCCTTCGTCCACGGGTGCCTCTCACCCCACAGCAGCTGCAGGACTGGTACGGTCACCGTCAGCGTCGCGCTGCTGGAGCTAGGAGTGGTGCTGGACCTTTGTCTACTGGAGGTGCTGGAGTCGCTGGTTCTGGAGGTGCTCGTACTGGAGACACTGAGGCTGGAGACCCTGGGACTGGAGGTGCTGGCTCTGGGGGTGCTGCTGCTGGAGACACTGAGGCTGGAGACCCTGGGACTGGAGGTGCTGGTTCTGGGGGTGCTACTGCTGGAGACACAGAGGGTGGAGACCCTGGGACTGGAGGTGTCGGCTCTGGGACTGGAGCTTCTGGAGCTGCTGGAGGTACTGGAGCTACTGGAGGTACTGGAGCTGCTGGAGGCACTGGAGCTGCTGGAGCTGCCGGTACTGATGCAGCTGCGCCGACACGACTGTTCTTCGCTCCGCCGTCTCCGTCGTCTCTGCCGCCGTCTGACTCTGTTCTTCGTCAGGTTCTTACTCTCCCGTCGTCTACTGGTCTTCCGTTACAGCCTGGCTCACCGCTGCCTGCTCCTTCTCCTTACACTGAGCAGACTGGTAGTCCTGCTGAGCGTCGTGAGCCTGTGTCGCGTCCTGTCTCGCCTGCTCGTCCTGGTCGTACCGGTCGTCGTGTTCCTCGTTCGCGTCAGCCGGCTGTCCCCCGCGCACACCTCGTAGTTCGTCGTCCTTCCTCTGCTCTGCAGCCTGTTCCTCTGCCGTCTCCTCCTGCGTCCTCTCTACCTGACGTTCCAGACCCTGAGTCTGACCGGTTTCGTGCTGACCACCCTACTGTCACGCGTCTGCTAGCCACTGTTGTCACTGACCCGTCGTTTGAGTCTACTGCTGCGTCTGCTCTTGTCGCTGAGCTTGTTGACTTTGCTGCTGCCTGTCGTCTAGACTACGCCGCCAGTCTTGTTGCTGAGTCTGCGTCTGTCTGTCCTCCGTCCGTCGGGGGTGAGTGTGCTCTTAGCACGGACGTCCTTGAGGACAGGCAGGAGGAG